TGAACACTGCCCATTGAACCTTTTGCTCAGTGGCTGCCTGTAACATTTGAAGGCAAAATTGGTTTTCCATTGCTGCAGATTATACTCAGGACCTTATATACCCTACACAATTGCTCTATGATAAAGCCCTGCTCAGAAATGCTTTGTTTTTATTTATTTATTTATTTTTGGTTTTGAGAGACAGGGTTTCTCTGTGTAGCTTTGGAGCTGGAGACCCAACTGAGTGCTGAGATTAAAGGCATACACCACCACCTCCTGTTTTTTTGTTTAGTATGTTTTAAGATAGTCTTGCACTGTGGAGGTCAGAGGTCAAGTTGTAGGCATTAGTACTCTCCTTCCAGCCTGAAGGCTCCAGGGATCGAACTGAGGTTGTCAGGCTTGGCAGCAAATGTCCTAATCTATTACACTGGCCCCCAAATCTGTCTATTTATTGTGTATGTGTACATGTGTGTGCTTGTATATAAAAGTGTCAAGGAGTACATATGGAAGTCAGGACAATTCTGGGATTTGGTTCTCTCCTGCCACCTTGTGGGATCTAGGCATTGAATTCAGGTCATCAGGCCTGTGCAGAACCCAAACATTTTCACACGGTTAAAATGAGTTTGCATTTTGCTTTCGTTTTCAGATATTCTGGAAATGACCCGTCTCCTAGTATTTTAAACAGTAGTTATTTCTGGCAGGTGTGTCTGGGCAGGTCCATAATCTCAAGAAGCTGAGGCAGGTAAGATTGAAAGTTTGGAGTCAGGGCTAGAAATGGCTCAGTTCAGTATAAGTGCTAGCTGTTCCAGACAGACAGCCTGTGTGCCATCCCCAGAACCCACATAAATAGCTAGATCTGGGGGCATGCACAATCCCAGCACTCTCACTGTGCCATAGGGGGCAGAGATGAGATAATCAGCAGAAAGCCTGAGGGCCAGCCAGCCAGCCTGTTAGTGTGCCACACAAAAACAAGGTGGGAGATGAGAACTCACAAAAGTTGTCCTACACACACACACACACACACACACACACACACACACACACACACACACAGAGATTAAGTCTTTAAAAGAAAAAAGTTAAGTCATCCTAGGCTAAACAGCGAAGCCCTATCTTTATTTTCTATTAATTTAATTTCTTTTGGTTTTTTTTTTTTTTTTTTTTTTTTAATTTAATTTTTTTTGGTTTTTTTTTTTTTTTTTTTTTTGAGACAGAGTTCCCTTGTGTAGCCTTGGCTGTCCTTGAACTCCCTGTATAGACCAGGCTGGCCTCTAACGGCCTGCCTTTGCCTCCCAAGTGCTGGGATTAAAGGCATGCACCCACCACCGCCACCTGGCTTGCCGAGGAGTTTCTACCTGGGCATACTCTTTGATGCACAATACTTACGGCATGTAGCAGAAAGGTCAGTTTCTCCTGAAAGAGAAGAACCACCCTTTGGATCGGACACACCACATCCTCATACCAGCTGTTCAGATAGGACTTTACATCATTCCCCAGGCTGCTTTCCTAGATTGAGAGAGAATGTCACTTGCTTTAATATCATAAAAGCTCACTTAGTGGACTTTTTTCTTCAATATACTCTTTCTCTGTGTGCATGGTATATATATTTGTGTGTATGTGTAAACTCAGCGTTGACATTAGGTGTCTTCCTCAATTGCTCTCCACCTTAATTTTTTAAACTACACTTTTGGAAGTGGGGTGGTGGTGGTAGACACAAAGTATGCCATGGTGTCTGTGTTGGATCAGAGGACAACTTATATAAGTCAATTCTGGCCTTCAGCCATGTGGGTGCTGGAAATGAACTCAGGTCAGTCTTGGTGGCAGGTACCACCTCTCCAACTTCTCCATCTGCTTTTCTTGAGACAGGGTCTTTCACTGAGCCTGGAGCTCACTGATTTGCTAGGTTGGCTAGCTAATGAGGTATAGGGATCTGCCTGTCCTCCACTGGGATTGCAGGTGCATGTCACCATACCCAGGTTTTTATGTGAATACTGGGGGTCCAAACTCAGGTCCTCAAAGCCACCTTCTTAGTCCCTTCTTCAACACAATTATTAAATTTGTGTGTGTGTGTGTGTGTGTGTGTATTCTTGTGGAAGCCTCCCTGAGTCCAAAAGAGGGTGCTGAACCCTTCAGGACTAGAATTATAGGTGTTGATGAGCAACCAGACTTTGGTGCTGAGAACTGCATTCTGGCCTCCTGGAAGAACAGCAAATGCTCTTAACTGCTGAGCCATCTCTCCAGCTCCTCTTCAATATACTCCTAATGGTTGGAAAACAAAAACTAGGACAGGTAGCTTTTCTGTTTACTTTTGAGACATGGGTTAGCCAGGTAGTGCAGGCCAGCCATGAACTTGCAATCCTAAACTCTCAGACACTGAGATTATAGGTATGTGCCAATGTGCCAGCCATACTTTCTTTTTTCCTTTTGTGTGTTTTTTATTTGTTTTGTTTTTTTATTTGAGAGGGAGGGGCAGATTTCGAGACAGGGTTTTTCTGCGTTACAGTCCTGGCTGACCTGGAACTCACTTTGTAGACCAGGCTGGCCTCAAACTCACTGAGATCCACCTGCCTCCCTAGTGCTGGGATTAAAGGCATGTGTTACCACTGCCTGGGTGTTTTGTTTGTTTGTTTGTTTGTTTGGCTTTTCAAGAACCAGTGTAGCCCTGGCTGACCTGGAACTCAAGAGATCTTCCTGCCTCTGCCTGGGATTAAAAAGTGTATGCCACCACTACCTGGCTATTCTTTTTTTTTTTTTTCCTCAAACACAATAAAAGGAATTTTGAGCCATGCATCTTTGTGCAAAACTGTAGTTTCAAATTTAAGGCTACCCTGAACTACAAAGTGAGTTTGTGAGACAGACTACAGAACAAGACCCTATCTCAAAAAAAAAAAAAAAAAAAAGTAATTATGACATAGTTTTTCTGGGATTGGACTGCAGGAACAGAGTTCTATGCAGTTCTTCACTGCACTTCACCCTCACTGGAGAGATGCTTCAAGACAGTGGTTCTCAACCTTCCTAATGCTATAATGCTTTAACACAGTTCCTCATTTTATGATGATCCCCAACATAAAATAATTTTTGTTGCTACTTCATAACTGTAATTTTGCTACTGTTATGAATCATAACGTAAATATTTTTGGTGACAGAGGTTTGTTAAGGGGGGTCTCGCCCCACAGGTAGAGAACCAATGCACCAAATAATCTCATTTCTCCATCTTGACTTTGTTTGAACACATTAGAGAGTGCAGACAGTAAGTTCACTCAGAATGTAAGAAGGGAGACAAGGAAGTAGTTAAAGTATGGAAACCCACTAGTGATCAGACATGGTCCCATGAGCACATCTGGCTCTCTAGATCATGTTGCTCTCTGGGGACAACTGTCACACAGGAAGAGCTCCAGTCTGGGAGAGTCCAGGACCCCAGCAGCAAATCCTGGCTCACAGCTCTATTGTCCTTTCCTCTCCTCCTGCATTAGCTTCTAAGTCCAAGAACTATCACTAGATGTGATAGGAGTCTTGACTAATAGCTGCTGTAAGCTAAAGGTGTAGTCTTTTCAGACAGGGTCTCACAGAATTTTGGTGGGTTTGAAACTCTCTGTTGCTATGGCTGGCCTTCCACTCCCTGAAAGCACAGTTTTGACAGGTTTGGATAAATTAGTCAATATAGACATGTCTAATTTATAAACGAGTAATAAAGCTGGAATGTTTTTAAAATATCTGTAGACTGTAGCAGAGCCTATCTCTGATGTCATAAGTTGCATGGACCCACTCGTGCTAATCAAAATATAGATCCTATGTGCCTACAAATGAGATAAAAGGCATCTTCTTCCCCATCACTGAATTTTGCCTAGATTTGTCTGTTTTTACACTTTATTTCTATGTATATGTGCATGCAGGTGACATATATATGCAGAGGTCAGAGAACAACCCATGGAAGTCATTTCTCTTCTCACAGTGTGAGTCCTGAGTATCAAACTCAGATAGACTTGGTGGCAGGTACATTTACTTTTGAGCCATCTCACCAGCTGTGCTTGGTTTTTAATTTATGTGGACGGGGGATTTTGTTTTGTTTTGTTTTAAGATTTTTATTTATTTATTATGTATACAACATTCTGCTTCCATGTATATCTGCACACCAGAAGAGGGCACCAGATCTCATAACGGATGGTTGTGAGCCACCATGTGGTTGCTGGGAATTGAACTCAGGACCTCTGGAAGAGCAGTCAGTGCTCTTAACCTCTGAGCCATCTCTCCAGCCCCTGTGTACGGGGGATTTTGCCTGTATGTATGCCTGTGTATCACATGTGTATAGTGACTACAGAGGCCAGAGTATGGTGTCTGATCCCCTGGAACTAGAGCTACAGATAGTTGTGAGCCACCATGAGGGTACTGGGTTCTCTGGAAGAGCAACCAGTGTTCTTTTTTTTTTTTTTTTCAAGACAGGGTTTCTCTGTAGCTTTGGAGGCTGTCCTGGAACATAGACCAGGCTGGCCTTGAACTCATAGAGATCTGACTGCCTCTGTCTCCTGAGTGTTGGGATTAAAGACATGGGACACCACCACTGGCTACATTACAACCAGTGTTCTTAACTACTGAGCCATCCTTCCAGTTCCTTGTTTTCCTTTTGAGACAGGGTCCAACTCTGGTTGGCTTGGAACTTACTATGTAAACTAGGCTCGCCTCATACTCTGCCTCCCAAGTGCTGGGAAGACAGATGGGTTTCCACAACCAGACTGAACATTGAAGTTTTTTCATCAATGCTACACATCAAAAGCAGAATCATAAAACCTTCAGCACCTATAACACAGCTGCATCCCCTGCTTGTGTCCTATATCACTTATCTACTGCCTACAGTAAGGTGAGGAACTTAGAAGTGAAGTGTCTGGTGGCTACCACCCACTGACCAGAACCCGAACAGTACAGCAGTCCTGATATGTCCATCACTTTAAAGTCAGTTATCTTACCTCGCAGTTCATGTTATTTTTCAGCCCTTGAATATACTTGTCCAATTCAAGCCTGAAAGTATGTTCTTAAGGAAGAGATATAGAATGATCAGTCAATACTTTTACCTCTCAGCAAGAGATACAAGGTTGCTGGGTGATGGTGGTACACACCTTTACTCCCAGCACTTGGGAGGCAGAAGCAGGCAGATCTCTGAGTTTGAGGAGGCCAGCCTGGTCTACAGATCGAGTTTCAGGACAGGCTCCAAAGCTACACAGAGAAACCCTGTCTTGAAAAAAAACAAAAACTAAAAAATTAATTAAAAAAAAATACAAGTTCTCAGATGGGCATCATGGTGCACAACTTTAATCTCAGCTCTCAAGGTCAGAGGCAGGTAGATCTCTTTAAGTTTGAGGCCAGCCTGGTCTACACAGTGAGCTCCCTGCCAATCAGGACTACAAGACTACAAAAAAAAAAAAAAAAAAAAAAAAAAAAAAAAGAAAGAAAGAGAGAGAGAGAGAGAGAAAGAGAGAGAGAGAGAGAGAGCGCCTCTCAAATAACACAAACTGAGTTAAAACAAGCCTAGGCAGGGCTGGACAGATGGCTCAGAAGTTAAGAGTGGTCCTGAGTTCAATTCCCATCAACCATGTGGTGGCTCACAAACATCTATAATGAGATCTGGGGCCCTCTTCTGGTCTGTAGGCAAACAGGCAGACAGAACATGGTATAAATAATAAATAAAAGCAATCTTTTGTTGTTGTTGTTGTTTTGTTTGTTTGTTTGTTTTTTCCGAGACAGGGCTTCTCTGTGTAGAAATAAAATCAATCTAGCAGGGCAGTGGTGGCGCACGCCTTTAATCCCAGCACTCGTGAGACAGAGGCAGGCAGATCGATGTGAGTTTGAGACCAGCCTGGTCTACAAGAGCTAGTTCCAGGACTGCCTCCAAAGCCACAGAAAAACCCTGTCTTGAAAAACCCAAAAAAAAAAAAAAAAAAAAGCCTAGGTAAATAGCCACAATTGACATTCAGACACACCCTATTGGGTGGAGAAGGTGGTAGCAGGATGAGAGCTACTAGCCCTTCCCCTGGATGTTTTCCCTCCTGATACCCTCAAATACCAAAGAAAGGATATAGCTCCAGTCCTTTTTCAGACCCTCCTAAGAAGCAGACCACATACTCAGAAGGGTTATGTTCAGATCCCATTGCTGCTGTTTCAGGAAGCAGTTTGTCCTGCTGGAAAAGGCAGTAATAACAACCAACTCGGTAACCTGGAATTCTAGAAAAGGAAGAGAAAGGTAAAGTGGCAAATCTGGTCCTCATGCTCCTCACTTTGCAGATGGCTCTGAACCCTGGTCTTGATCTGGTAACACTTTCAGATCCCACTCATGCAGAGATTCCCAACCTCACCTTACTCATCTTAGCAGAGGATCGTGACTGTGCACCCAGGTGAGGTCTAATTAAACAGCACACCAATCCCTATTCTAGGAGGCAGAGACAGGCAGACCTCTGAGTTCAATCAAGTATAAGCTGGTCTACATGGTGAGTTCCAGACCACTTGGGTTACATGGTGAGACCTTGTCTCAAAAAACAAACCAGCCTCTAACAAAGGTTTGTTCACTGAATTCCACTGTCTTATGTGAGAAATCTAGGAGCTGGAGAGATGGCTAGGCAGTTAAGAGAGCATTGGCTACTCTTCTAAAAGGCCCAGGTTTGATTCCCAGTACATGCTGGGTCATAAACATCTGTACCTCCAGTTCCAGGGGATCTGACACCCTCTTCTGGGCTCTATAGGGACCAGGCACACAGTTTGTGCACAGACATTCATGCAGGCAAAACAACCAATCATATACATAAAATAAAAAAAAATTAAATTTAAAGAAAAATCCATATAAAGTTCAGCTTTGTTCATAGAATACTCATGTTTACATAAAAATTAGCGTGTTCCCCATCCTTTAAACCCTCACGTGTCATGGATGTTCTATGCCGATGTGCCAGGCCTATCCTCTAGCATTATCCTTTGGCCACAGGGAAATACTTGTAAGGGAAAAATGCCTGGTCTTCAGGAGTGCAATGGCAAGACAGCTGGGATTAGGCTGAGAGTGTCTGTGACCTGACCTCCCTGTGACCTGTGACCATGGGCTTCCAATTTAACTTTTCGGTGTTTACTTCCTCACTGGAAAATAAAATAACTGCCCCATTTCCCTTTGTAAGAAGAACTACATCAGCATTTGTGAAAGCATGTTACAAACTGTAGGCATACAATTTCCACTTTGGTAATTAACTTTTTAAAATGGTGCTATGGGGCAGAGAGCTCTGCACACACTAAGTAAGTGTTCTGTCTACATCAGGGCCACATCTCCAGCCCTGCAATCTACTGTCTAAGTATAAAGCAGACTAAAGTACAGTGAGGTGCCAGAATCTCACTCAACTTAACTTCACAACGTTTATGTGTGAGATTCATTGCTCTGGCTGGGAGTAGAAGGGGATGAAGTGCTGAAAAACAGAAAACAAAGATGTTTTCTACAGGTCTAGATTTTTTCAAGTTTCCCCACACTTCTCATGTTTAGCTCAGAAATAAAAAACACAGGAGACAGCATATTTTATACTTACCTCAGCTCTACAGATGCAACATTACCCAGCCCTTCAAAGAAGGCTCCCTTGGAAAGACGCTTAGCAATGAAACTGCGAAGCTCTGGCTCCACTTCAGATGGTAGATTTGTATCCAGCAAGGAGAGGCTTGACAAATCAAAGACACACATTCCTTACCAGCAGTGCATGCACACCCATAAATCACATATAATACACCAGAGCGAGGGCCTCAGTCTCTCTCAACAGGGTCCCTATGTAGCCCAGGATGGTCTTGAACTAACTATAGATGAGGTTAACCTAAAACTTGTTCCAAGCTCTTAGGTGCTGGGATCACAGCTTTGCATTGCCATACCAATTTTAGGGTCTCTCTTAGGACTGCTTTCCACTTGATGACCCCTGCTGGTAGGTGTTACTGTCTTTAGTCCCAACAATTGGAAGGTAGAGGCAGGTAGATCCTTGTGAGTTTTCTCCTTCTACCTTATGAATTCTGCATATCAAACTCAACTCATCAGGCTTGGCAGCAAGTGCCTTTACCTTCTGCACCATTTCACTGCACCTGTTTTGGTGGATTTTTGTTTGTTAATTGTTGATGTTTTAGAATTTTTTTTCTGTTTGGTTTTTCAAGACAGGGTTTCTCTGTATTGCTTTGGAGCCTATCCTGAAACTTACTCTGCAGGGCAGGCTGGCCTTGAACTCAAGAGATCCACCTGCCTCTGCATTCTGAGTGCTGGGATTAAAGGTGTGCACCACTAATGCCTGGCTTGATGTTTCAGAATTTTTAAAAAGATCTATTGCTATTGCTATTTAAGTATATGTGTATGTATGTCTGCATATCTGTATGAATGTGTGCCACATGAGTCTGGGTGCCCCAGAGTCCAGAAGAAAGTGTCAGATAACCTGGATCTGGAGTTAGAGGTGGTTGCAAGGCACCTGACATGGGTGCTTGGAACTGAACTTGAGTCCTCTGAAAGGCAGTATGTGTTCTTAGTCATGGAGCCATGTGTCTACTGTCTTTTTTTTTCTCCAATTTTATTATTTTATGTGTGGGGGTGTTTTGTCTGTATGTTTGTGTTCCACATGTGTGCCTAGTGTCTGTGGAAGCCAGATGAAGGCATCTGCTTCCCATAACTGGAGTTATATATGGTTGTGAGCCACCATGTGCGCACTGGCCATTGAGCCTGGAAGAGCAGCCAGTTCCCTTAATCACTGAGCCATTTCTCCAGCCCCAATCATTTTTCTTTTCTTTTTTTTAAAGATAGAGTATCATGTAGGTCAGTTTGCTTCAAACTCAGTGTAACTGAAGATGACCTTCAACTGCTTTTGTATGTGTACATGAAAACTACATATTCATGTGTGTGCAGGGACATCTGTGTATGCATGTGCACATACTTATAGAGGCCAGAAGTTAACCTGTTCCTCACATGCTGTTCATCTTACTTTTTTGAGGCAGGCTCTCTCACTGGGACCTGGGGCTTATGGATTAGGCTAGGGTGGCTGGCTAATAAGATCCAGGGATCTTCCTCTCTCTGCCTATCCTGAACTGGGATTACAAGTACATCACTCTGTTCAGCTTTTACCTGGATTCTAGGAACTGAAGTTGGGTCCTCATACGCTTTATAGATTGAGCTATCTCCCCAACCTGACATTGAGCTTCTAATCTTGATGCATTTCACCTCCCAAGTGCTGGAATTACAGGTGAATGCCACCATGTTTGGCTGCTGTTTTTATTTATTTTTGTTTTATTTTGTTTTGTTTTTGAGACAGGGTTTCTCTATGTAGTCTTGACTGTTCTGGAACTTGCTCTGTAGAACTAACTGGCCTCAAATTCAGAGATCCATCTGCCTCAGCCTCCTGAGTGCTGGGATCGAAGGCATGTCCCCCTTACTTTATTTTTTAATATAAATCTTGATAGAAATATTATTTGAGGCAGGCGGTGCTGGCACATGCCTTTAATCCCAGCACTCGGGAGGCAGAGGCAGGCGGAGCTCTGTGAGTCCAAGGCCAGCCTGGTCTCCAGAGCGAGTGCCAGGATAGGCTCCAAAGCTACACAGAGAAACCCTGTCTCAAAAAAGAAAAAAAAAGAAAAAAAGAAAAAACAAACAAACAAAAAAGAAATATTATTTTGAATTTTTACTGGAGTTCCAGTCAAGAAACTCAAAAAAGAATTCCATCTGGCTAATCACAGGGGCATTATCAGTATTTGCATCTGCCCCTCCCTAGAGTGAAAGCGCCAGGGAGAGAATTAGGAGAGGTTCCTAGGGGATAGGAGGAGCTGATGGTTTACTCAGAGAAAGCTCAGTAGCAACAGGACATCCACTGATATCTACAGATACGCACAGATCATGAAAGCATGCAAGTGAATTACACTTAACTGTTTTTACCTGAAATCATCACCAGAGGGAGTTTCTGCATTTGTACTACTTGAACGGCCATCATCACTCTCCCCTCGATGTTGTGTCAATCTGCAAGATGCAATACAACAAACAGTAGTATCAGTTATAGGCTGTAAATCGAGCAGAGTACCCAGCCTTTGCAAGCTGGGTAAATGCAAGGAAACAAATAAAATGCTACAAGGCCAAAGAAATCCCATAAAAGAGTGCTGTCAAGAGCCCCTTTCTCTTCAGGGGATTTAATAAGTGGAGAAAAGACCTAATGTCCCGAAAGTTTAAAGAAACTGTTCTTTATAAATAAATTAAGGGCTGGAGAGAAGATGGCTCAGCGGTTAAGAACACCGGCTGCTCTTCCAGAGGACCTGGTTTCAATTCCTAGAACCCATATGGCAGCTCACAATTGTCTGTAATCCTTGTTCCAGGGGCTCAAACACCCTCACACAGACATACATGCAAGCAAAATACCAACGCACATAACTTTTTAATTAAGAAAAAAATAGCTAATTAAAAAAGCAAACAGGGCCTGGAGAGATATCTCAGTGGTAAAGAGCACCCAATGCTCTTGGGGAGAGATCCATATTTAGTTCCCAGTACCCACTTAGGGCACCTCACAACCGACTGTAACTCAAGTTCTAGGTGTATCTGATGCCTCTGGCTTCAGTGAGCACCTGCATGCATGTGTGAATACCCACAGAGACACATATTTAAAAATGTAAAACACATCTTAAAAAATTGCAGGAAAGTCAGCCAGGTGGGCAGTGGGTACCGAGGGGAGAGAAAGGCAGCAAGAATCGAGGAAACTAGAGGGCGGGATGAAAGTGTGTAATAGAAATGAAGGCAACTTGGGGGCAGCCACTGAGGGCAGAGAAGCCACTGAAGGACCGCGCTGAATAGATGTCAGGTGGTGCGGTGACCCGGGTTAAAAGAAGATAGGGGGCTTGGGAGGGCAGGGCATAAAAGCCCAGACGGGCCGTGAAGAACCGACTGAGGCCAGGAGGGCCCATCGGGCCAGAGACCTTGGATGGGAGAGGAGGTGGCGAGTGGGGGCTTCGGGGTGCAAGGCCGGGCGGCGGGGCCGCGGGCGCAGCGGGCAGGACGCGGGCACCTGCTTCCGCGGTAGCTGTACAGACAATAGTGTCTGCTGGGTGGCGGCTCGAGTCTCCGCTCCTCCGCAGAGCCACCCTCCTCGCTGCTCTCCAGCTCCTTATCATCCCCATCCAGCGACTCCTGCAAAGACGGGAGCATCGCCGCAGCCTCCTCGCGGCCCTGTGTCTCCCTCAAACCGTTCCCCCGCAGCTGGGCGGTCCTCTGTGAGCCGACTCGACCTCCTCCCGGTCCTCGCACACCTGAGTTCCGCTTGCTTTCTGAGTCCAGGGCAAGAAAGCCCGTTTGGAGAACCGGCTCTAATCAGGTGGGCTCTCTTACTAATGTTTTTAAACTATTTCTTTTTAACTGACTTTCCTCCACCAATTGACGTATCAAGGAGACCTATGTGCTGAAGATGGTACCGCTGCTCTCCTGCCTTCTTTCCGTGTGCAAAAAAGACATGCATATAATACAGTTTGATCAAAGACACGAATTTAGCCGGACCTGGTCGAGTGCCCCTTTAATCCTAGTACTTTAGAGGCAAAGGCAGGAGTATCTCTGTGAGCGCAAGGCCTCCTTGGTTTACATACCGCGTTCCAGGCCAGCCAGAACTACACAGTGAGACCATACCACCAAAATAAAATTATATAAATAAAGACAAGACGAAAGGAGATGGTGGCGCACTTCTTTAATCCCTGAAGACAAAAGCAGGCAGAACTCTGAATTCCAGGCCAACCTTATCGACAGAGTGAGGCCCAGGACAGCCAGGGACATACAGAGAAACCCTGTCTCAAAAAACCAATAATAGAAATAATAATAATACACGGATTTCATCATCATCATAATACATGAATGTGTGGTTTTTCGAGACAGGGTTTCCCTGTGGCTTTGGAGGTTTTCCTGGAACTAGCTCTTGTAGACAAGGCTGGTCTTGAACTCACAGAGATCTACCTGCCTCTGCCTCCCGTTCTACAAGCTAGTTCCAGGACAGCCCCCAAAGCCGCGGAGAAACCCTGTCTCAAAAAACAAACAAACAAACAAAAAAGATTGTAGGGCTCCCTACAGTCAGCCAAGGTCAATCTTCAAGCTCTTCAATGTAGAGCAGGCTTTTTAGGAGAACTTCAGTTCAAAACATAAATGATAGTCTTTGAAAAATTTTTCCCACATCTATATTAGATGAAGGGCTTTCATTTATGAGAACCAGGGAGAGAGAAGAGAAAGGAGTGGAAAAAAGAAGCAGTTGGCTGAAGAAAAATAAAGACTATATAAATAACCCACTCAATATTAAAAAAGTATGATTGTGTATGTGGTGGTTTGAATGGTACTCATAGGCTCTTATATTTGAATGATTGGCCCCCAGTTAGTCCACTTGTTTGGAAAGGAGTAAGAGGAAGTGTATCACTCGGGACAGGCTTTGAGGTTTCAAAGGTTCATGCTATTCCCAGTGTGCTCTTGCCCCTTGCTTGTGGTTCTGTGATGCGAGCTCTCAGCTGTTCCTGTCACCAGGCCTTCACTCTACTATCATGGACTCTAACTCTCTGAAATCATGAGGCCAATTAAACATCTTATTGTATAAGTTGCCCTGTCATGATGTTTTATCACAGGAACAAAAAAGTAACTAAGATGAGCACCATGTGAAGATGAAGGAAGACTGGAGTGATGTATCTACAAGCCAAAGATGGTTGCCATTGCCTGAAGCTTTGGAGAGAGGCATTCAAACACATCATCCAAGCCTTCAAGAGAGCATGGTCCCACTGATACCTTAGTTTCAACTTCAAATCTCCAAAATGGGAAGAAAATTAATTTCTGGGATTTTTATTGTTGTTGTTTGTTTTGTTTTTGTTTTTTGAGTTAGGGTTTCTCTTTGTTTCAGCTTTCACCATACTGGAACCTGCTTTGTAGATCAGGCTGGCTTTGAACTCACCAAGATCTTCCTGCCTCTGTCTCCTGAGTGCTGGGATTAAAAGCATGCACTACCACTGCCTGGCTAATTTCTGTTGTTTTAAACTGTTTAGTTTTGGGTACTTTGCTAAGTTGACTCAAGAAAACCAGTACAGAGAATTATTTTCCCACAGCCCTTTGTCCTACTCCAGTAATTATTGTTTATTCAAATCATTTCCTAATGGATTTGATTTTTATCTAGTTAGGTATGACTTGCTCTCCCAATTTACTGAGTTCTTCCTCCAAGACCATCTTCTGAAAGAATGTCCGAAGAAAATTTTTAGATTTTATTTTGTGTTGCCTGCATGTATATGTCTGTGTAAAGTTGTTAGATCTTGGAGTTATAGCTGGGCATTGGTGGCTCATGCCTTTAATCCCAGCCTGATCTACAACAGCTAGTTCCAGGACAGCCTCCAAAGCCACAGAGAAACAATGTCTAGAAAAACCAAAAATAAATAAGTAAAAAGATCTTGGAGTTACAGACAGTTGTGAACTGCCATGTGGGTGCTGGGAATTGAACCCAGGTCCTCTGGAAGAAAAGTCAATACTCTTAACCACTAAGCATCTCTCCAGCCCCTGAGAAGAAATTTTGTTTTTGTTTTTGTTTTTTTTGTTTTTCGAAACAGGTTTTCTCTGTGTAGCTTTGGAGCCTATCCTGACACTTGCTCTGGAGACCAGGCTGGCCTCGAACTCACAGAGATCCACCTGCCTCTCCCTACCGAGTGCTGGGATTAAAGGCGTGCGCCACCAATGCCTGGCCCAGTGAAGAAATTTTAAAGTCCTTAAATGTCTGAAAATGTCCTCATATCTGAAAGTATGTCCTCAAATACCTTTATTGTATTCTCCTGCTTGATTGGAAAGGCCCTAGAAATATGAGTTTTGATCAATACTATTGGACATTGAATTCTTTTTTTTTAAAGATTTATTTATTGTGTACAGTATTCTGTCTACATATATCCCTTCAGGTCAGAAGAAGGCACCAGATCTCATTACAGATGGTTGTGAGCCACCATGTGGTTACTGGGAATTGAACTCAGGACCTCTGGAAGAGCAGTCAATGCTCTTAACCTCTGAGCCATCTCTCCAGCCCGGATATTCTCTTTTTAAAGATTTATTTTTATTTATTTATGAGCATGTGTATGTGTTGGCTAATCTTGGTTGTCAACTTTACTACGTTTGTAATCAACTAAAGCCCAAACTTCTGGTCACTCCAATGAGGCCATTTCTTCACTAGATTATTTGAAGCAGGAAGACCCATCCTTAATCTTGGCCACACCAAGATTAGGGGCAGGCAGCTCAGATAAAAGAACTTGAATGAAGGAAGTGTTGCTTTTGTCTGCTTGCCCTCATCTTGCTAGCAAGTTTACTGACCCATTACTTTAGTTGCTATTTAATCCGACTTCTCCAAGATTCCAAGGTAGACTAGAGACAGAGTAGCTCTCTAGGAATCCTCCAGGACTCCATCCCCAGATTGGAACTACTGAGACACCCAGCCTAGTGGACTAAACAATGACAGGATTCTCAGCTTTTCCATCATGAGTAAGCCATTATTGGACTACCCAGATCACAACCTGTGAGCCAGCCTAATAATCCCCTTTTAATCTATGTGTTCTGCCCCTTTAGAAATTCCTGACTAATATAATGAGTGTCTCTGTGTGATTATGCCACATGTATGTAGGTGCCCAGAAAGTTCAGAAGAGGGCCGAATTCCTTGGAGTGGATTTATAAGAGCTTGACAGGCACCTGGTGTGGGTGCTGGAAACTGATCTCAAGCACTCTGGAAGAGCAACAGTGCTCTTAACCACTGAGATATCTCTCTAGCCCCCAATTGCATGAATATTCTTTAAAATGTATACACATGCGAGTTGGTTGTAATGGTATACACCTTTGATCCCAGCACTCGGGAGCCAGAGGATCTCTGCCAGTTCAAGGCCAGGTTGGTCTACAGAATGAGTTTCAGAAAAGTCAGAGCTACACAGAGAAAACCTGTCTCGAAAAAATAAACAAAAAAGTATAGACACGCCTAGTATGAAAGGGCATGCTTTTAATCCTAGCATTTGAGAGGCAGGAGCAAACAGATTTCTATGGTCAGCTCTGATTATATAGTGAGCCCCTTCCTCAAACAAACAATAAACACACACATTCAGACACACAATCACACATAGATAAACACACATATATACTCTCACACAAACACTGAGCATGGTTCATTCCTGTAATCTCAGCACTTAGGAGGATTAAGAGTTCAATGTCATCTTTGGCTACATAGCAAATTCAAGGGCCAACCTGGGGTACATGATACTTTATTTTGAAAAACAGAAACAAACTAGCCATTACAAAATTTAAATGACTTTTTAATTTTTTAAATATTTATTTATGTGTAAGAGGCTTTTTTTTTTTTTTTGCTGGAATGTAGTATGTGTATTACATAAGTGCCAGGTGCCTGTAAAAGTCAGAAGAAGGCATTGGATTTGCTAGAACTGAAGTTACAGATGGTTGTGGACCACCATGTGAATGAGAATAGAACCGTGGTTCTCTGAAAGACCAGCAGATGTTCTTAACCACTGACCCATCTCTCCAGCCATTTTAGAACAATTTTAGATGTACAGGAGAATTAAGAATACCATATGGTTTCTATATAGTGCCTTACCTAGTAGCATGGCACATTAGTAAGATATACTTGTTACAAGCTGGGCGTTGGTGGTGCACTCCTTTAGTCCCAGCACTCGGGAGGCAGAAGCAGGCGGATCTGGCTGAGTTTGAGACCGCCTGGTCTACAAGAGCTACTTCCAAGACAGCCTCCAAAGCCACAGAGAAACCCTGTCTCGAAAAACCAAAAAAAAAAAAAAAAAGATATACTTGTTACAATCACTGAATCTGTATTGATACTGTGTTATTAACTAAAATCCACAGTAAAATTTCTTTACTTTTCATGTAGTATCATTAGTGAGATACTGTTACAGAATTGCGCCAGATTTGAGGAATACTAGTCAACACTTTGGTAGAATTCCCCTCCATTGGTGGTTTGTTTTTTTTTTCTTCCTCCTACCTCAGCTTCCTGAGTGTGTGCAACCATACCCAGCCCCACTATCATAGCTGCTGTTTATCTCAGAGGTGTGGATTTCGATTATCAGTTTGGGGGTGGAGGACCACAGTTAGCACCTGCCAAGCTTCATGGAATGCCAAGGATACAAGTTCTCAATACCTTAATAACTTTGTTCTCCTGACTGAAGTCCAGTTTCTTTATTGTTACTTTATTGTTACTTCCCTTACTGG